GAGGGAAAAAAACAAAGACATGGTAGTTGTTGTGGCTGTTTTTTGTTTTTTAACATTTTATTCTTTAGAGTTTTACGGCACTTGCAACAACACCATAAGGTCATTTAAGAGCCGAAGATTAGATGTGTTACAAGAGCGGCACACCACCCTTACGACATGACCAAGCGTGTCGCCACGTGGTGGAATCAGGCGCTCATCAATTTTTGGGGCGGAGGTTATAGGGTTATTGGTATTATCCAAGGAGGTTACAGTAAGTTGATTGTAAGGTCCTTGGTATTATCTTAAAGCCTGTTCATTTGCCTTTCATATTAGGAGAAAAAAGTATCCATTTTGAATAGAAGTCGAAATATTTGCGATTGAAAGGTCAGGGTTGCCTGGTTTCAGAGGTAAAATTAGCCAGAAAATGGCTGCTAAAGTTTGGTAACTGACATAGCTAGAGAGCCCTTGGAAAATGAACATTAACATTTTTTGTGCCTTTAATCAATGTTTTCCCATTAAAATCCACTCGACAATGTGTTTTTAAAAGGACAAAAAAAGGTGCTGGTGAAAAGAAAAAAAAAGAAAATTAGAAAATTTGCCATTCGGCCATGGAAATGCCGATTTCTTTGATTTCATTATTTTGACGAGCGTCTGATTCCACAACGATGCTTCATTTCGCCATCCGACATGGACAGTGAGTGGGCGGGCGGCTCCGGACGTCTAACACCTGGCCTATGCGCTAATATCATCCCCAATAAATCCCATCACAAAGCCACCGGCACAACCCCTCAGATCGATCAGTCCCTTGACGGTCTTATGATCGCCTAGGTCCTCATCAAATCGCGCTAAAGCACGCAGCGACAGCCATCTGCCGCCGCGGAAGTGCAGTCCACTCCAGTCAGTCTCAAGACTCAAGGTACTCATCAAATCGTACTAAATCACGCAGACACAAAGCAATCCGCCGCGGCACTCCACTCCAGCCAGTCTCAACTCAAGACAGACTGAGCCGGGGGCAGGGAGGGTTGTGGTCATTTTTAGAGAGAGAGAGAGAGAGAGAGAGAG